AGAATATGACTTTTCGTGTTTGAGTAGAGTCTCGAGACTACCAGTAAATCACTAACATGAGATGTATTCACCCAATTTCGTTTAAAGTGATGAAATGTGAAATTGAATGGAATGGAATGGGAAAAAGCAACTACCAGTCCTTCATCACCTGAAACGAAATTGGGTGAATACATGTCATATTAAGAATATGACTTGCGTGAAATTCACATCCTTTCTATGACCCGAGGGCAGTTGTGAAAATGTAGCGTAGTGGTTAATAGGTCGAAATTACACGCTGCACTGTCATGGTTCGAGCTCCGCTGGGCTTGTTGCTAACACCAAAAAGTGAGATGGCAACTGCAGTCAATTCGAGTCGAGAGGATAGCATCTTTGGGGCCAACGAGGTCGTGTGGAATGCAATGTACAGCCGTGGTCTCGGCATCTTCCCTCTGGCCAGCTTGAACCGAATCGAGTCTGTCGCCGGGTTACTGAGACAGTCTCGAACCCGCGCCTTGCTTGCCATCACAAAGAACGACATCAAATGGGCAATTTGTGAGTTGTCAAGGTACCGAGACAAAAACAGCGACTCTGCGATTGGCTGACAAAAGATTGGTCTCGAGAGGATGGACTTTACTTGACCATTTGACGAGTGGTTGTCTGCTGTTGGTACCAAATTCAAGTGTCCCAAGTCGACGGTCAGAGGCTGAGCAAAGAGGCGGTACAATTGGAGCAGGAAACCCGTGAAAGGGGGGAGGCCAGAGTGTGTCAAATTGACCGTTGACAGTGCGTCAGATGCATGCCGTCCGAGGCCACCAGTTGTCATGGTCACTCGGCCGGCCGACTGTGTATTGAGTGGGTGTTGGCATGCGGCTGTCGCGTCGACAGCACGACCCACTTGCTACCCTTTCCTGGCCGACACGGTCTCGATGGTGCCGCGTAAATCGAGTGTCAAATCGATAGCATCTATTGCGGCTGGGAATGGGTGATTGTTTGGCAAAAGTGTCGTCTTTTGCCAATCACCGCAAGGATTGCAGCAACTGGCAGACGGTTAAAAGTGAACAGACTGACAAACGTACCAAACTCTTGACCTTTGGCTGTTTGTACGGCTCGCCACCACTTCTGGCCTGTCGTTGTGCAACCACCGCGGCTGGCTGATGATGCTGTTGATGCGAATGGGGCGGCGGTTGCCCGGTGACCGGTTGGTGTTGCGGCTGGTGATAGTGACTCGGTTGACTGGGTCGAGTCAACACTTGCGGCTGGCCGATCAGCTGTTGGCTGGGCGCCGAGTCGAGCGACGACGTGAATTGGTCGGCCGGGTTGGTCAGTCCGGCCATCAGCAGGCCTCCTGATTGGCTCTGGCCGGAGGCATAGAAAATCGGCTGCACCCCTGACGGCTGATTGGCCGATTGCACCGTCGCCTGCTGATTGGTCGGTTGGAAGGGCCTTGCAACTGGCTGACGAATGGCCGGCTGTTGATTGGTCGGTGCGCCTTGATTCAGGCTGACCGTCTGATAGGCGAGCATCGGCTGTGGTGGGGCGGCTGTTGTCGAAAACGTGTCGGGCGTTAGCGACGACGCGAGTTGAGCCTGACCCGCAGACGGCGAGTGGGCGTAAGTGATGACTCGAGCCGGCTGAATGGGCTGGTATTCCCCCGACGTCTGACCCGTCGGCGGCCTGGCAACTGGAACCGAAACCGCGGCCGGGACGGGACTCGTACTGGCGGTCGGATAGAGCGACATGTGCATTTGCGTCTGCGTGTGCGGCTGTGGCTGTGGCTGTGGCTGTGGTTGTGGTTGTGGCTGCGTCTGTGGGCTCATCTGGCCGGCGCTGGTGACGGTGTAGACGACCGGCTGCGGCTGGTGCATCTGCACACCGGCCTGCGGATAGACTTGACTCGGTTGGTGTTGTGTTGCCTGTTGTTGGTGTGTCTGGTAGAAAAATGGCTGCTGGCTGCCGCTGCTCGACGCTTGGTTGGGCTGTCCGACAGCCGATGAAACGACGCGATATTGCGGCTGCTGCTGCTGCTGCTGTTGCTGTTGCTGTTGCTGATACTGTTGATGTAGT